TACAGCATCAGCCCATGTGTTTAAAAAAAACAACAGCTCGAGGTCCCTGGAGCATGTGCTTTTCCTCTAACTGGATCAAAGTCGACCCAACTGGATTAACGTTGTTTGAATGGACTGAGCAACCAGCTGAAGTTGTCATCAGAGCCTCACACTCTTGAAAGCGGGACTTAAAAGAATTAATGTGGAGGCATTATAACCCAAAATGTGGATCTTGGTGGTAAAGTTGTTTTAATCATGATTGAGACACAGATGATTGTAATTGTTTGCTTTGCTTTTATTGTAATCATATATAAACTGTTAACTATAAATTGTTCTACTATATCTAATATATTTAATTTAAAACTCCAAAATGTGCAAGTTGTTATTTGACCTAATGATTCATTCTGTACATACCGCCCCTTATTTTATGGATGAGATATACCATTATTGAAATAAACTCTAATGATTTGATTAACTTCCAGTCACAAGTGGTAAAAATGATCCTTTTTACTAGACTGGGCTTTTTTGGTCCAAAAATTACTAAAATATATGTATAAAATGTGGGCCTTTTTGCCTTTATGTTTATGATGGGACAGCTCAAGAAAAGGGGGAGAGAGAAGAGAGAATAGCGATGACGTGCAGCAAAGGGCCTCAGGTTGGATTCAGCCAGCTGTACCAGGAGAGCTACCAGGGGCCCCAGACTTTAAATAGTAGGGTAAACACAGGTGTTACCAATATTAATCATAATGAATTAAAGAGTCACGGTGATGCTACTGTGCCTGTTGGCTCACTGAAGTCTCTGCTACACTAAATGGAACAGAGCCTTAATTAGTATCACTGCAAACGCCTGTGTTTACCCTACTATTTCATGCCAAAATGGCTGCTGTGAAAAAGGCCTGTTGTCAGTGTTATTAGTAACATGTGCTGTCCCACACTATGACAAGCTTACATTTTTGATAGGCAGCGTCACGTGAGGCAGTTAACATCTGACATGACCTGAACACTGTACTTGTGTTAGCCCCTCCCCTCCCCTCCTCTCTCCTCCTCCCCTCCCTTCCCCCTCCCCTCCTCTCCTCCAATCCGTCCCCGTGTCCCACTAAAGCGATTTCAGCGCATGCAGGGACTCGTCCCCTACGGCTACGGATGGCAACATGGCGACAGAGGTAAGACTGACACATTATCTGTGTGATTTCGCCGCCCAGGTCTCCGTTATCAGCGCAGATATGATCACTGGAGTAGAAGCAGGTGCGGGGGCAGTTAACGTGGTCAGCGGGGGCATCGGGGCTGCTGCACACGGTTCAACTGTGCCACACGTGAATCATCGCTGACGGCTGTGTTATCATGCCAGTTTCGTCCAAAGGGTTGGTTCGGTTTTTTTTTGGTCTTCTGGCATTTTTTTTACCCGTAAAGTGCGCTGTGCTTCATGGGAACAGAAATGGGGCAGAAACGGCGGATCACCGCGCGGTCCTTCACGCGATGTTAAGCTGTTTTGGTGAAAGCAGATCTGTTTTTGTCTGTTGAGAAGCCCCGTTAATCCGGTGACAGTGGACAGTGACCACACACACACACACACACACACACACACACACACACACACACACACACACACACACACACACACACACACACACAGAGGAACAGCGTTCAGTACCATGGACAGAAGCCACGCCGCCCTGACCTCTCTCGGCTCCATCTGTGCTTTCATGAATGCTTAAAAGAAAAAAGAAAAAATTGTGATGAATGAAAATGGATGTTTACCCAACCTCAGTCAATATTTCCAGCATAGATGACAAGAGTTTGCATGCTCTTTCATCAGCCTGCCTCATCTTATTCCACCTGATCGATCTGTTGTGAGCTGTAGTGAAATGTTGTCCTGTCTCCTGCAAGCTTTACTCCCCTGTAAGACCAGAGAGGATGGAAGTGTGTGTGTGTGTGTGTGTGTGTGTGTGTGTGTGAGGGAGGGTGGGATAGTATGTCCAACACTGGGCTCTGCTCCAACAGACACCAGGGCAGAAATGAGCGGAGACACTGAGCCTCAGAGAGATTGATCACATCTTGTCTGCTTCTCCTCTATCATCCTGTACATCCGATTCAGACACTGTTTGTTCACATTACGAGTGAACGGGTGCATAGAGAGATGGAGCTCTCTCTGGGGACTCATTATGAATACATAACTGCACCAAACCTCATTATATTTGTCTGTGTGTGTGTGTTTGTGTGTATTTTATCATCCTCAGTTCCACAATCTGCAGGAGTTGAGGCACAGCGCATCTCTGGCTAACAAAGTCTTCATCCAGAGAGACTACAGTGAAGGGACCACCTGCAAGTTTCAGACCAAGTTCCCCTCTGAGCTGGAGAGCAGGGTGAGGAGACAGCCACATGTGCATTTGAATGTATATTTGTAGCCATTGTCATAGCACATGGTATAACATGATGTCATTGTGGTGTGTGTGAGAAGATAATAATCAAACAGAAACTACTGTAACACTTAAATGTATGTTGTTGTTTTTTTGTTAATGGCACCGGCGTGTTGTGAGAGACATGAATTGACATTGAGATGCTAATGGAGGCCTTTCTCTTACAAATTGCCTCCACGCTGGAAAGGATATCTAATATTTGTATCCATTACAGCAATATTACAAATATTTCTTTACCTTTTTAACACCTGTTACCCCCTGACCCAACCAACTCCTAAATCTAAATACAGGAATAATACACACATGAATAATAAATAGTATAAATACAAAAACAAGTCTGCCAGCAGACCATTTACCTGCCTTACCACTGTACAGAGAACTGATTTTAAGAGTTGTGTTGATGACACACCGAACAATGCCTATATTCGTTTTATTTATTACCTCATTAGCAGAACTGTTACTTGTAACGCTCTGGTGGTCTAATGGTAAAGACACATACTTTATAGCTGAGACGTTACTGGTTAGATTTCAGCCAGGAACCTTTTGTTGCATTTCAAATCCTCCATTTTCTCTCCCTGTGTTTGCTGTCTGTATCTCTACTATTACTGTTAAAACCCAAAAATGATCTTAACCAGTTCTTACCCTGCGTGTGTCTCCAGATTGAGCGGACACTGTTTGAGGACACTGTGAAGACGCTGAATAACTACTACGCTGAGGCAGAAAAGATCGGAGGCCAGTCCTACCTGGAGGGGTGTCTGGCGTGTGCTACAGCATATCTTATCTTCCTCTGCGTGGAGACGCGCTATGAGAAGGTCAGACTGGGGATCTCTGTGCATTTTAATGATCTGGGACAATGATTAACATATCTGGGATTCCTCACCAGCTCTCATTTTTCTTTTGTCTGTGTGTTAGGTGTTGAAGAAGATAGCTAAGTACATTCAGGAGCAGAATGAGAAGATTTATGCTCCCAGGGGGCTGCTCATCACAGATCCCATAGAAAGGGGAATGCGTGTCGTATCCTTTCTCAGTGTTTTTAGTATGTGTCTTTAATTGTTTTAAATTAAATTAATTAAACACACTCCACAGCAAATTCTTGGTCCCTAACTACTCTTCCACCAGATAGAGATTTCCATCTATGAAGACCGGGGCTCCAGCGGCTCCAGCTCGGGGAGCAGCTCTGTGTCCGGCAGCACTGCTCGATGACCGGGTAATTCCTAAAAACCGCATCCCCCTGATCACTCACAACCCTGGAGAAGAACTTCGGACAATGACACTACTTCTGTTCTTATTAAACCATACATGCTCACACAAAGGATCCACTAGCTTTTAACAAAGAGAGGCATGTTGCTCCTAACGTGCTAACACATGCTAAAGTTGTTCATGATTTTTTATTTTTTTTGCTGCCAACGCTTAAAACACACACTTTAGTTGTTTATTACAAAGCAATTTGCATGCGCTGACAGTCGTGTTACTGTAGGATGCAATGTCTTCAGTGAAAAGATTTTGTTAGTAATACTTTGTGTGATTGTACTGTTACCTTCCTTCCTGTCCTCTTTGAAGCTACCACAGCTAAGTGTACTATGTATAATCTGGTGGGTGAGAGAAAAGAGGGAGGAAGGAAGTGTATAGAACAGGAGTGAAGACCACAAATCTCACCAAACCTCATACCTCAGCCACCACAGTTGCACCAATGTGGACCAGGTCAGCCACAGCCGCGCCCTGACCGCACCGGACCAACCAGGAAACTGGACTGAACTCATCACCATCAACCCTGCACACCAGACACTGGCTTTTAACATTTTGGTAAATGTAAAGTAGGATGTACAAGTATAGGGCATCATGAAGTTTCACCTCCCCAGCCCACATTCATGCTGTCTGGTAGCAAATGAATGTCATTCAGCCCATCCGTGTATATAATGTAGCAGATCTTCCATTTTTCTCACGTGAAGCCTATATTTTATTTGTCAGACACAAAAACACATGCACAAATCTAAGTACTAACCTCTTGGTTTCAATGAGTGAGACCAACTCTTCCTAAATTTGGATTATGCAAAGACGAGCTGTGCATTAAATGCAGGAGTAAGTAAACAATGGATGGGTCAAAAAGTCTTCCTGAATCTTACCTGTAGTGTTTTAAAATATACCAACCCTTCCTTGATTTCTGAACAAACTTCCAAAGAATGACGACTGCCAGAAACTGGCTCACAAATGTGAATGTGTCTCATATTTTGGTGACATTTTGTGCAAGAACAAACTTTCGTACTGCTTATTGTTTGATACACATGGCAATGAGTATATATGACTGGTGTCAAATAAATACTGTTTCATCACAGCTGCACAGAACTCCTCTTCTTTGTTACTCAACTGTAAATTTACAAAATTGACCTTTACAATTTTGACTTGTCACAGCCCATGTGTTTATAATATCATTAATGGATGTACAGTCAACAGTTGGACAGAAACACAACTCAAAATAAATGATCATGCGCTGTAGCTGCTGGATGTGTGAATAAGCAACTGTTTGCTGACACCTCAGCCATAACACTTTAGTTGGGTGATAATACATCAGTGCTGCGTTCAATCACGGTTGTTTTGACACATAAATAGCATTGTCTAACAATTTATTTAATATGATTTGTCTTGTTGGCTGGATAGGATTTCATTCAACTTGACTATGTGGACATGTTTTTAGATCACAATGTGCCATTTACTGCATAATGGCTAACACGGATGTTTATTTAATCCACAATAGGCATTGTTGATGTGACATTTTGGACATGTAGGAAAAGTAAAAGCACAGGTGTAAATAATAAAATGACTGATGGCTGAATTCCATTTATCTTAAGTTCCAGGGTCTCCTACACAGAACAGAGCCATTGTTAATGTTATCAGTAACACCTGAGCTGTTCCTGTTATGAAAACGTCTGCTGTGGAGAAGGCCTATAGTACATAATAGTGATAATGACTTAAACAATTTGCATGCACTGAAAACATCAGACATTAACACTGTCAGATTAAAAAAAATCTTATAATTTGATGGTGCGACAAGCTTTGGTCAGGAAAATTCCCTCATGTCTGCATGCATGCTTGACAGGATATACGACAATGCAACAGCTGGGTAAAGGGTATGATACTCATCCAAGTTTTTCAGTCTAGACTTACAACATGGAGGGAGAACTGCATGCAACCAGCTCACCAGAGCAAACAGGAAATGTCCAGACAGACGGATATGCATTCTGATACACAGGCTAATTGTTACTGCATGTCACAGGAAGTCTTTTGCTTGGTCCATATGCAGTGCTGGATAAAGGCTGTCTTACTGTATCATCTTTACTCTCGAGACTACCATCCCCTGAGATCTGCCAGTGCAGAAAGCACAATGACCCACTGTAGTAAAACGGTCTTAAAACAGGAGGCTTCAAACGTGGAGAAGGAAGTGGAGCGTGCGCCATCATAAAATGGAGTCGACGCTGTAAGGATGGAGGGACAGGATGGAGGAAAACAAGGAGAAGCAGGTTAAGACCACACAGTACAAATGGCTGACACAGATGGAGATGGCTGATGGAAGAAGGATGAGAAAAGGCAGGAGAGAGGTGCAAGCACAAGGGACACAGTGGACTATGTTAACTAAATATCTCTCCTTTGTACTGAAAGCGGGTTCTTCCTGATTATTCCAGCTAGTATGTATCAGCCACATGTTTTGTTCTTACTAGTTCATTTTCAGCTGGCTGCAGATGTGAGTTTTTTTTTACCCATGAAATGATAATCTGACCACATTGATTTGTAGCAGTTTATTTTGAATTTGCCATCGCACATAGAAAAAACAACTTAGCAGTCGAAGGAAAAGTGAATAATGAACAGTCCAAGAGAAAAATAAGAAACACAAAAATATTAAAACTACCTATAGAGTAGAGAAAACAACAAGCCCGCCCCCCGTCTTAAAGCACAGACAAAAAGAAATGTATTCTACAGCCACGGTTGTGTAACATTGTATTTTCCACTGCAATTATTTATTGTATTTCATGTGATTATCCTCACAGACCTGTAGAAGATTAAAAAGAAATAATAGTTGGTTTTAAATGGTTTCATCTTTAAAGTTGCTTCATTTAAAAAAAAAAAAACTGATTTAAAAAGAATTTGCTTACCTGCACAGTGTCCATTCTTGACAGTAAAACCATTACCACACTGAACAAAAAGAAGAAAGAAATGTATTGGTATTCAAACCAAATATGTTGATTCCTTTATATTTTAGAGACAAAGAACTAAAAAGTAAAGTATCATCTATATCAGCAGCACTCAATTAATGACACCACTAATTTAAAAAAAAAGAAAGATTTTAAAGCTTCTAATTAAACTGAACTCGACGGTGAAAAAAAAAGACAAGAGACTAACTGTGGTGGTTTGGACAAGTTTATAAGGCCGCTATCAGAGATTCACTGGAAATTACCAGTGTTCATAATTCATGCCGTGGAGCCGTTCTGTGTACCTGGGTGTCATTGGCGAGCAGAAACGTTTCTCCTTCTTTGGGATAGGCCACTTCCACCACTGAGTTCATTTCACCAGACTGCAAGGTTCGAGTGATGGAGCTGCCGTCTGGCCAGGAGACTTCCAGCACCGTCACCTCATCATTTCCTGGGAGTGGTGGATAGAAAAATCACTGAGCATCACACAAACCTTTCAAAAAGTATTTTCATTAGAGTATAATCTGAATGTAGGAATTTTTTTTTGTTTTGTTGTTGCCTTCCATTGAGTCCGACACGTTGAACTGCCATGTTTCTACAGGAGCCCAGAACAAACTAAACACCGGCTATAGATTGGGCCTTTTGTGTTTTAGTAGTTTCTCCTACACACTTCACAGTCCGTCCTCATTCCCAGATCGTCAAATACAGATGCCAGCGGTGACAGCCAGCAGAAGACAATAAGCTTAGCATGAAGAGTGGAAGCAAGGGAAACACGGAACGTGCTAAGCTAAACTAATCTGGTATCGTTTTTCCCTCTCAGCAAGAAAGTGACATGGTGTATTTACCAAAAATTGGTATTTTTATTTCAGTAAAGGGTCTGAAAACTTTTCTTTTAAATCGGCCAGTACTAATAAAAACAATGTGCAGATTGGGTTAAACACATGCAATAAAAAATAACAGCAATAATAAGCCTACTGCCTTTTCATTTTCTTTTAGTGTCATGTGAATTATAAATTGTAAAGGAAGTTACCTAAACCAAAGTGTGCCACAGGCTCCATCTCACACAGGTACCCCGAACCTCCGTCAATGATTCGTGTGTGAGCTCCACTCTGACTGGTGAAGGCAGTTACCTTCGCTCCCCGGGCGAAAGAGCCAAACTGGGTGCGTGGAATGACCCGCAGCCAGTTGTTGGAGGAACCCTGATGAGTGTTGACAGTTTAGATTGTGGATCTTTAGGGCTCAGTTACTATAATATCATCAAGAACATTTACTCAAATAATAGTTAAGTACAATTCTGAGGTACTTGTACTTGAATATTTCCTATTTTATGCTGCCTTATATTTCAACTCCACTACATTTCAAAATGAAATATTGGACTTTTCACTGCACTACATTTATCTGAGAGCTGAAGTTTTTAGATTAATATTTAACATACAAAATATTGTCAAGTTTTAAAAAAGCTCAAAGCTCAATATTTCACAAAAGCCCCTGAAGATTACTCAAAAGTCCAAAAAATATATTTATTTTCTTTTTCCAACCCCATTACTCATCTAATGAACCTCAGATTCATTTTGTGACCCTTTAGGGGCCCGACCCCTGGTCTCCAGAGAGCTCCACCTCAAGCAACTGCAACAGTAAAAGGCTGCTCATACATTCATGCATCAGTATTAAGAATCTAATAATGTCATATACAATAATACAAAACTCACAAGGCATTTTACTGCAGAACAAGTACTTGGGGGTTATAACTATAGTATTTTTACATTGTTGTATTGGTACTTTCACTTTGTTTGTTCACCACTGACAAACACACACGTATATACACACCTGTGTGACCTTGAAGACAGAGATTGGCTGCCGGGCACTCTCTCCGTGTGCCAGCAGCAGGTCCAGCTGTCCGTCCCCATCAAAGTCTGTCACAGTGCCACCTATCCAAAACAGACAGAGTGCTTTCACTGCACTGACCTACGTATTAACTTCACTGCGGTGTCTCTGACAGCTGTCTCTCTGTAAATCTCATCCAAAAAGAGAGGGAGCAGAGATGTCACATATTCATGACATTTTAATAGGTTGTCCAGTGTCCTCTGTTCTGAGTTCAGAGATGGCTGACCTGTTCCTCGCCCCTCTGGCTCTGCAGCATCTCCCACATTCAGCTCCTGGATCAAAGGGTCTGCATTGGCTCTCCTTGACACCCTGCAAACAAACACGGGACTCTAAAAATAGCTAATATTGCAATAATCCAACACGTGCTTTACAGCAAGCTGTTTTTGATTTTATTAATTGATGCTTCTCGTGGACCACGAGTTCACATGATAATTGGAATGTTACCTGAACAGCCTGTTAGGTGCGTTGCCTCTGTAAGCAATATTGTTGAAAAACACGTCCAGCTCCTTGTCATTGTCTAAGTCGGCGGCGATGACTGTGCGAATAGGCGAGGGAGCAGCAAATCCTCCAGTAGCTATGTTCTGCACGGGAGAACGCTGTTAAGTCTTGATCAATCAAACTCTTTCCATCTTACAGACTTTTATATGCCACCCACTTTCTATTTGTTTTCTGTAACTTTCCTGTTCTCCTTCCTTACCCGGAATGTTGAGTCGCTGCCCTGCAGGAAAAGTCTGTGTGGGCCATTCCAGTTGCCGTAGATGATGTCTGTCTTTCCATCGCCATTGAAGTCAGCCAGTGCGACGCCTCTGCCATGCTGGTACCGGTCCTCCACACCTTTAGAAGTTGACACATTGTTGAAATCCTTAGTGCTGCTAGTGCTGGAAAGATAAAAGCTATGTAGGATTTGAAAATTCCTAACATTGGCAACTACCAGTGGTAATAAAAAAAAAGACAGACAGCAACACATTCTGGTACCCAATACCAGACCTCAATATCCTCAATATTTCAATTTCAATTACCTACCTGGTCTCATTTAAACAAAAAAACAACATGTTGATGTTTACCAGGTACAATGTTTACCATGGTCACAGTCTAAGTTTAGTGCAGTGGATCTCAAACTGTGGGAGGGCCCCCCTGGTGGGACACAGAACCACTGTAGGGGCAGCGTGGATGATCAGGGAAAAAATGTGGAGTGAAAAGTTTAATAAATAAGTTTTATATCGGGAAAATAAAAGAGTTGTGATGCTAACATGCTGAACTTTATTTCACAAAAAATGTTGCTCGCCCCATCATTAACGACTTTTACAAATTGTGGGGAAACTGTTGGCATGAACTTTTTTCAGCTTCTTCTTCTACGACTGTACTGCGTTAGCATGCTAACATTTGCCAATTAATGAGTTTGCTAATTAACACAAAGTACAGATGAGGGTAATGGTAATGTCATCAGTTTTGGCATTATTTAGTTTGTTTAGTCATAAACAAAAGTATTTTCATGGCAATCCATCCAACAGTTAACAGGACATTTCAGTCGTTCAAAGTGTTGGCTGACAGTCCGACGCTGCCATCCCTAAAATTTAAACTTTGACAGACATACAATTGTCTGATAAACCAATAATAAAACTCAAAAACTATATTTAATTATAATTATTTCTACTCCTGACTACCTGCTTTAAGTGTCTTCTGCTTCGTACTCACCTGCCTGTCTGGCCATATCAACAAAAGTCCCGTCTCCATTATTCTTGAACAGGAAGTTGGGTCCGTTCTCGTTGTCGCAGAACACATCCGACCTCGACTGGCTCAAGATTGGACCAACCACCACACCACGCCCACCTGCACAACAAGCAAACCGTAAATGCTTCAGCTTATTCAGCATCTCAAAACATCGCAGACTTCACTCCTACAACCCGACTCCTGACCTGTGAACTTGTTGACCCCGGCCACCGCAGCCACGTCTGACAGAGCAATGATGCCCTTGGCCACATCACTCGCAGTCTCGTCCATTTCTAAGAGAGCGTGGGGACCGACGTTGCCACTGGCATAGTTGGCCACGTAGACTGAGTAACGGCCTGTTCCCTGAGGAGCAACAACAGGCAAGGAATCATGAATCATTGAGACAATGGCAGGAAATGGCAGACATGTAAAATAGAGAAAATAGAAGGTGACAAATGAAGAAACAGATTGTTGGACTTCATAAATAGGTTTACAAACTGAGTTAACCAACCTTTCTGTCAATACATGCAACCGAACGCCCCGCCATGCGATTAGCGACACCACGACGCACATTGAGCTCATCGCTGAGAAGGTCTTCAAAACGGCCGTTCCGAACCTTGAAGAGCTTGTCTGAATAAGTTGCCCGTCCTGCGTTTGAAGAATATTATAATCAAGTTATTATGAAGAAATATCATTCAGCTACCTGTCATTACTTGCTGGGGCCAAACATTTTGAGGACACACCATAAGAATGCACAATTTACCAGAGTAGGCATTGTTGGTGTTGAGGAAGTAGATCTCCTCACGTCCATCTCCATCCACATCACATGCAGTAACGCCAATTGCGTTTCCTGCTCGGTCCCTCAGGGCGTAGTATGGCGAGTTGCTGTCATCAATAGCAATGTTAACCAGCCTGTTTTGAGTGCGGTCGTACTTCAGCACCAGGTTGGGCCCATTGTACCTGAGTGAGAACACCACACAGGTTGGTTTTGCTCACACAGTTTCAGAGAAGAATTTCTGCAAAGTGTAATGATCATAAGACACAGTTAACAGACGCACGCCGTCACGCCGTCAGCGCCTCTATGTTATTCACACTCACCCTGCCACAACCACCTCCAGGTCACCGTCCCCATCCACATCTGTTACAGCCATCCCATAGTTGAGTTGCGTGGGATTGTGCAGACTGTCAGGAGGAAGCATCGTCTCCGTCACAACCCGCAGCATGGGCTCAGAGCCTTGGGCGCGGGACTGATGCCAGAGTCCGACCAGGAAGAGCAACAGACCTGAAGCCCACATCACTGCTGGAACACAGGGCCGGGTCATTTCAACTCCATATGCAGATGATGCACAAGTCTTTTGAATAGTGCAGGAGGACAGACGTAATGTAACATATAGAGATTCTCTATGTTCATGTGAAGCACGATTCAGTGCAGGGTCAGCCTCCACCAATATCAATCCTAAAATTGATTTATTTTGACCATTTTTATGTGTCTCTTGTGAGTTGCACGAGTCACTGGAGTGTGCCAATAATTAAAAAATAATCTTAAAAGAAACCACATAAACATTTCTTATGACAATCAAAGTGTAAAAATACAACAAGAATTCAAAGTGATTAAACAAGCAAACCAAAGATAAAACAAGATAAGATAAATCTCCTAATCCACTAGTAAACTCAATTATGTTTTATTTTTCCGTTTTGAGAAAGTACATTTAGAGAATTATAATTACTAGATGCTTGTATAGCTCATAGAAAATCTACATTTTTGCAACTCCCGTACAGTGTCTGCACAAAGATATATTATTAACGCATATTAATAACATTATCTGTATAACTGATGGTGTCTAGTTTAAAGTGCTGTTAAAACATATGCACGATCCAATCTTTCATTTGCTCCAAGAAGTCACTGATGTCTACTCCTCTTCTTGTTCCTGAGCAGAGTGGCATGCAGGAATGTGGTAACTTCAGAAACAGTCTTACCTGACAGCTCTATCAGTGTGCGGAGATTGAGATTATCTGACTTCTCTGCGAGTGCACTCAGCGCCGTTTGTTATATCATTTATCAGCGCACATCACCTTACATCATTTATGTTTTTAAAATTTACGAAACAGCTTGTGTAACGTTGCAGAAGATTAACCAATCAGCGAAGAGATGTGTGAATAATTAGAATGGTGACCAATGGTTGATCTGTGCTACTGTGCGCGTGTACATCAGAGGCGGAAGTCTGCTCTGTTTGTAGGCGCTGCTGTTCAAATATATTACAGCGACAGCACAGACAGAATACCTTCAGACGACCGCACATTCATAAATCCTGCCGGGGAAGAAATGTTCACTTAAACAAACAACTAATAAACAGATAAACAACCAATTCCACATCAAATAAACGTGCTTGCCGTCGCGGGCGGTCCTGAGTGGTTCAGCTACAGCGCCGTATAAGAACACCATCTCCCAGAATGCTTAGCGTTGTCCTGCACTTGCGTCAGTAGTGCGACGAAAATCTGTTGCTAAACAAACCGAACACGGGTAAGCTAAAAGAGCCACATCTATCATATACAGTTGGTTTGGATGAAAGCACATTAAACAAAGGAGATTTTAATGTGTATTTATTTTAACTTAATGTTTGTGTTCTAACTAATGAATTATTACAACCTCCACAAGAGGAACTTAAGCTAGCTAACGGCTAACGGCTAACGGCTAACCGCAATGTATTGCCAGCAATGGTTAAACGTTAGCTGTTAGCTGTTAGCTGTTAGCATTAAATGCGGTTTGGTGCGTTTTTAGACGGCTCTGTCGGAGGAATTAACTATTTAAAGTCACTGGAATACAAGATCAGTCATATTGTCATTAAATCCAGTCAGGATTCGTTTAGAAATCTGCAAATGGTTAAGAAATGTTTAAAACATGATATTATGTATTGTTACTACATTACGTCTTCTCCGGTTTGCTGTCTTTTTGATCCAGATGTTTTAACTTAATTTAATAATGGAGTTGGAACAGCCAAAAGAAGACTGTGCTCCAGCCCAGCCAGCATCCACACCTCCGTCTCAGTCAAAGAAACCAAGCCAGGCTCTGTACGTCCCCAAGCAACGCGTTCAGGGCGCCAAAGACAAAGCTCAGACTCAGGGCGAAGTCAAACCAAGACCCAGGCCTCGCTACACAGACAAGGCTAGGAAAAATGCAAAGAACAAGAAGGACAAGGCTGGAGCAGCGGATAAGGGTCCTGTTGATGGAGGTGAGCTACAGGATGGTGACCGCAAGCCTGATGTGAAGGAAGAGCGGTTACAGGATGCAGATGTGCAGATTAATGGGCACGTTGACTCAGCAAATGTGGCTGCAGATGCTAATTCACGACTGGAAGCAACAGGCTTTCAGGAGGAAGAGGAAGAAGAGGAGAGTTGGGACACCTTGTTCAATGATGATGGAGATTGTCTGGATCCACACCTGCTTGAAGAGGTGAGAGCTTGGTGTTGGTCGGTCTGGGTGAAAGTTTAACCAGAAGAATCTTCTCCAACATTCACAAACACTCATTTACCGGTTTATTTTTTACACCGAGCTAAAATGCTATGCAGTCTAATACGGGTTCTAACAGCAGAGTTAGAATTCAGACTTAATGCGCCTTATCTCTCTCCTCCTTCTCGTTTCTGTCCTCATCTGCTCCCACTCTTCTCTCTTCTTAACCCTTCTAGCTTGCTATTAAGGAAGGTAGAAAGAAGGATTCTATCCAGCAGCCTAGGTTTGATTACTACAACATGGACCGAGATGACGATGATGATGATGATGAAGATATCGACCTCAGTGAAGATGAACTTGCTCACATCGTAGAGATCTACGACTTCCCCACTGAGTTTAAGACAGAGGACCTTCTCAAGTTGTTTCAGTGTTACCAGTATGTATATTTCAATGTACTTCTTCTACTAGCCTTAAAAAATTTAAAACTACAATATAGTCCCCATTCATTAATATAATTCAGTTTTTTTTTCTCCTTAAGGTCAACATTGAAATCCTGACTAATGTTACTGTGTGTCCACATAGTGTTTTTGAAGTTGTTCCCAATGAGGAGCAGCAGCGTGTGGCCACCTAGGGAAAAAGTGCTGCTCCCAGCGTCTTTATTCAGAGTGCTCTTACTATTCTGTGCAGCTGCTCCAAGCACTTGTAGGTGAAAATCTCTTTAACTTTTCAGAGAGGCGCTGGTGTCATCACTGTTGCTCTTTTTCAGACAAACAGTCATATACTAACTCACTGTAGACAGATTCACAGACACTCGGGGCTGATCAGCTTACTGAATGTTGTCTGTGCTCTGGAGTTGTAACCCTCTGGAAGAGTACATCAACTTGCCCCTTGTTTAAGCTAAAGTGCGTTTGTAACCAGGTTCTATCTAACAGTAGCTCTTGGACCAGGCGGTGATATTTGCTGTTCATACAAGGTATGAGAGCAATCATCCTCTGGTTGGTGCTCATGGTGGTGAAGCAAATAGATGCTAAAGAATAAAATATGTTTTTAATAAAAATCAAAGGGGCGATGCTAGTCTTGTCATACAATGGCGGTGGTGATATGTTGTCATAGAAACGAAATCCATGTTCAGTTGTTGTTTTTCCCTCTCACTGCACAAAAGCTTCATACCAGCGCACTGCCAGTGCTTTTCTGCCCGAAAAAAAAAAAAAAAAAAAACCCTATGTGGATACAAGCTCTAAAGCTCTATGATGACATCTCAGTGAGTGTAGGATTCCTGGCAAATGTATTGCATCCACAACTAGAACCACAAGACTCAGAAGTATGAGTTTTATCTTCTTTCGCTTTTTGTAACAGTTCCTTTTTTTCCCCTCTGTGTTTTCAGACAGAGAGGCTTTGACATCAAGTGGATTGATGAATCACAGGCCCTGGGCCTTTTCTCAAGCCCCATAGCAGGTAAGTGAAGTGCTGCTTCACATAGAAGGCGGTTTGGGGGGGAGATACTTCAGAATACATTAAACTGCCGTAAATATTGTCGTTGTGACACCTTTTCCTGCCACAATTGATGGAAAATGGCTTAATAAAGAGGATCTGACTGAAACACTCAACATTATCAACATTAAATCAGTGTTAACTTCTGAGCTATTATAAGATATTGTACATTTTTGAATTCCTTTTACACATCATCTTATAAATGTGCTTTTGTATCTTCTTATGCCAGTTGTTTCTTTTCTCTTTATAGCTCGTGAAGCTTTAAGGTCCAAACACCCACTGATGAAGTTGCGACCACTCTCCAAATCCTCCTCTGCTACAAAGGCCAAAGCCCGTAGCTGCTCAGGTACAGATACAGCTGTCCCGTCTGTCTCGCCAGTTCAGTTTGTCCTCTGTATCTCACCATTTAAAGATTATTACCTGTGCCCCTCTTATTCTCCTTTTCTCCCTTCACCCAGACTACCTCCTGCCTGCTAAAGAGAGACCTCAGACGAGTGCAGCTCTGGCTCGCAAGCTTGTAATCGGTGCCCTTGGTGTTAAGAGCAACCTTACAAAGGAGCAGCGCGATGCAGAGAGAAGGAAACTTCAGGAGGCCAGAGGTGCGTTATTTAGAGAGATGTTATGTTCAGCTTATGATTCACGTTATTTGTATGAAGATGTATTATGGTCAGCAGAACCCTTTTTTGAAGGCCTGTTCTCTCCACAAGTAGCCTAGACGTGAATATTAAAGCTCTTCATCTTGGGTGGGTAGTTAAAGTGAATAGTGGGTTAAATATGTGTGAGTGTGTGTCAGCATGGGTTCCCTGAATATATGCATATTAATAACCCACTACAGTCCTCATCTGATTGTCCCAGTTTTTGCATCACAAGTTTTCCACCACAAGTGGGAGCTGTTTTTATACTTTACACAAGTTGATGCCAAGAGAAGTTGCTCTCCGTCCACTGCTGTGCCGATCATAACAGGTCTATAATCAGTACAGCAGCCATTTCCCTTCACAGATGGAACATAAGTATATAGGCACAGAAAACCACAAATGGCTGTCCACTGAACAGTCAGTCAGGAAGTCAGGGCCTTGAGTATAGAAACCTAAAAAAGGTCCTTTGTTCTCAGCACAGGCACACTGCTGTGCTCTTTTATTTAAGATCACAACACGCACAGTGAATGTCAGTGCAGAAGTGCATCATGTGCTGAACATTGTGTCCTTGGAATGGACGCCACGTATTGGTCCTATCCAGAGATTAATTTATAGCCAGCCCTTCAGTCTACCTCAGCTCCTCACAAAGACAGTGGTACAAATTTAGAGCAACAAATCATACGTGTTTAGTTTAGGGTTTTCGCTGATTGATATGTTGTGATTTACCTTTCAGAACAAAAGCAGATGGCAGCCAAACAGAAGGAAGATGCTTGGGAGGGGAAGTGACTGGACAGAAAACTACCCCCCATCTGTTTTCTTTTTTTGATTTAGCAGAGGCTAAAGTCTGCTCCATTTCTTCTCCTGCTCTGCTTTTCTCCACTGGCCACCCCTCCTACCACCATACTTCCCAGAAATGGATTCCCACCATTTTTTCCTTCAGTAGTTCTTAGCAAGCTCTCACAGAATGCCTCATCATCCAGTGTTACATCAGATGAGAGAATACTGCTACTGCTCCCCCACCTTTATGTTCATACCTATATGTCCATGCTGGCCAGGGCTAATGCAGCCGACTCACCTGCTTTCATATCGCTCAACCTTGTAACCACAGTCTGTAGTGAAGCACTGAGTCTAATCATTTATAAAGGGTCACTAATGCTTCGAAGTAATATTTTTAAAATAGATTTAAGCCATTATGTTTGTCTTTATATGGAATTATTTTAATGTTTTTAAAGATGACCCAATGTAAGTGCGAGGGCAGCAAAGCTTTCTGTTAAAGGTCCCGTAATATTAGTTATTCAGTCATGATGATACATTACATCAATATACTCTGTATGAAACATAGTTGAGGTTAGACTCTGTTCGAGAAGTTGAATTTAAAGTTGTGTCGTTTAAAAAAAGATAATGTACCATAGTTTACGGTCAGTGGAATGCTCACTTTTATCTACATTGGATTAGCTCCTCTTATTAAATATTTACTGAGAAATGAAAAGCCAAAGAAGATGTTGCTGTTCTTGTCCAGTATCATGGTTGTTCTGAGTCTTGTTGCTCAAGCAGGACTGATGATGATGATGATGTTGATGTTGTCATTCATTCTGAAGAGCAACTTTCAACCAAATCTTTTAGTTGACAGATTTTGTCTAAGGCTTTAGAGTGGTGCTGCTGTACCTTGTCCCTGTTCAGAAACAACCACATTCACGTGTCGGTCCAATAATGGAGACGAAATCTATGTAGACAAATAGTTGTCCTTTTAGCACATTTACCTGTTTTAAGACATTGTGAATAATCTGGTGCTAGTACATTAGTAATCTACATCCTGATAAATGAGTAGCATGCCGTCTGCACAGTGAAATATAGGGTCAGTAAACTTGAATGCTATTGAGCAGATGTTGTATTTCCATTGTATATGTTTTAATTTGTCAAAACAAAGGAAAAAATATCCTGAAATAATAAGCTGAATAAATGAGGTTTAAAAAAATGAAGGCACCATTTCTGTCCCAACCTTTTTTCAGCGATGTACCTCCTGACCAGCGTCTTGGTAGGAAAACAGTCTGTGATTTATCAAATGTACATTTACATTTTTTATTGAACTTTATTTTAAGAATTATGCATGACAGATATTTTTTAAATGAAATTTAGTTTAAGAAAGCTCTGCAACACAATGCTCTTATCACGACTCCTTCCAACTGCTTTACGTTGACAGGCGTGTTCTGGTCGGTCTTCACATGCTGTTTTTACTTATTCCTGGAAAGTTAAATTTTGGGTAGAGAGGACAGCGAGAGAGAGAGATGTTTATTCAGTTAAATGTTTAACTTAAACCAAGTTTCCTAATTCAAAGTCAGCCTTTATAATTCAGCTTCCTGAAACACTTGGGAGACTTCTGTGACAGATGGGGGCAGCTACCTCCTTTGAGGCTTCACCCAGCTGACCACAGACCATGTGGCACTGTGTCTCCTTCAGCCCCTCAGCCAATAATTAAGTCTCAGTCTCCCAGCTTGGTGAAAGAGCTGCAAATATGTCATTTGTTTTACTGCAAATTATTTACCTATATCAACTAAACATTTATTGTAAACGTTTGGCTTTGCTGGCTGCAAGCTGTGATTGGATAACACAGCAATACAACAGTTTGATGCATACATACATGTTTGGAATAGTGATCATTCATATTAAAACACATATAGCCTGCAGACATCGTAGAGAATTTGGTACCATTGTATCTAAATCAATGCCGTCCATTGCTGCTGTAGGAGCCCGGTTTGTAAAACATTTTAGGCGGTTGGCAGAGGACGAGACACAGTGCCACGTGGCTCATGGAGGGCTAATTAAAGTGCTGCAGCCTTAGAGGAGGCACCATTGCATGTTCAGTTTTGGTGTTCATGTGTTTTTTTTAAATCAGTAGTTCACAATGAGCATGATTAATTCATATTCACACAAATATAGATGTTTTTGTACAGCAGAAGCAGAAGAGTTGTTAAACTTAATGAAATGAAAGTGTTTTTTTATGGCCACAAGGGCAGGACATAAAACAGGTTAATATGAGTTAGTGAGAGACATTCAATTTTATTTAATGGGGGAGGTATTTAAAAACAATATTACTGTGGCAGTATTTATTAAAGTTTTTATTTATACCTGCTTTTACACCATTATGTAATAACTGACGTAAACCTTTCCAGGAAGTTAAAGTAAAGAAATGTCAAGGTAACTATGGCAATACGATCTTAGATGATACAATTATTTTGAACTTTGTTGTGATTTTTACTATTTATTACTTTACTTCCATGACATAGAACTAAATAATGGCGTGATCTGACTCCTCACCCACACTCATTCATTTAACTTGATGCATATTCGTTAGAAATGCAGTGAAAAGAGTTTGGACTACAGTCCACAACAAAAAAATACAACATTGTTTTCTTGGTTCTGTTTTTTCTTGTACAACCAATCGCCAAAAATCTCATTTGAAGACAAAATGTTAGTGTACTCTATGTTGATTTGTTATCACCTATAATTAAACCATAAAACCATTTAAACCGCTGAAGCCAGGTCTCAGCTGGCCTTAGTGCATGTGTGACTTTCTCTTTCATAACCTACTTACATGACTTCCACTGTGGAATAAAACCAACTGTGGACACATTTTCATAATGCGTCTGCCAAAACAGAAGTGGACCTCCCTGTGCTCTGTTGTTCTTGCAGCTGAACTGCATATACAGCCTGTAGCTGCTCTTTACCATCGTCGTGTGAGATCTGAGCCCTGCCTATAATCTCACGCTTTGCTGTGGCTTCACGAGGGGGTTATGTGCCGCAGTGCAGGCTGCTGGGTGCCTCACACAAAACCATTAGATTCACTACACAAACACAAACCACTACTGTGCAAAGTTGTGGGTCTAAGTGCAAACTCCACCATAGATGTGCTGCACAGATACGCTGTTATGTCATGGAGCAAATTAAATGTGAGGCATGGTCCAAATGAAGGAATAATCTAATGTCCCACCACAATAAAGGACTCTGGTGGTGTAGGGTGGTGCGTTTCCTAGCACCAAACACTTTCAACAAAAACACCTTACATCACTCCTCCCTTCTTAAAATAAAGTTTTGCTGCTATGACACACTCAGACTAATTCATCATTACCTGAGCAATGAGGAGTGTCTTGGCCATATTATTATTATTATCATTACTAATAGTATTGCATTTATTTGTCTGGGACCATGTACAAAGAGAGATATAAGTAATTTCCTTCATCTGCATTCCCTGGGCATGGAGCACCAGAGTGTGTGTTAAAACAAGACTATTGTTTTGAGAGACAAGTCTTCCTAGTGAAAGAAGAAAGAAGTGAAAAGTTGAATTCATAAGCAATCAAACGCACCGTTCCTCAATTCAACACACTAAGGATTGTTTAAAAACGCTGCTGATAGAGCCTTTCTTGGTTTGGTACGACCAGTAGCTTATGGTGGCTAATGTGCTAATGTTGGACCTGGTTTGCTGACTTAATGACTCTTCTGCACTTGTGCTACTAGGTTAGCATTTTAGCTAAATGCAAGACACTCGTAATGAAAGTGTAGCATTTAGCGTTATCCCATAACTGTCACTCGTTGCCACAGTGGCTGCTGTTAAGCAAAAGTCAAATGGTCTCTCTTAAATCATGGGACAAATGGATTGATATGTATGATAATAAAAATTATTAATAACAGGTGCAAGTACTGATGGATATAAGATGTGTTCAGGGACCTGTTTGTCACATTAGAATGGAGTAAGAATTTTAAAACCCAAAGATAAGGTGATAGTTAATGGTTTCTCCCAGTGCTGCCAATGTCACCAAAAGTGTTTTAAGTTTAGATCACTTTGTCTATGCACTTTGTATTCCTCATTTGATTTTAATGTGTCATTTTACTTTTAGAACATTAAATTGTAATTCTACTCCAACTCATAAAAGGGAAACAATAAGGCCAAAGTAAGTCACATATTTAGTGTAATTTAGTTTAAAGTATAGCCTATGTAATGTGACAAGAGTTTCCAGTGTTTGTATGTGTTCATCAGAGGGAATGAGGTTGGAAACAACAATAAAACACGAGTAAGCTCAGGCTCCATGGGAAAAGATGGGAAACCCAGTTGCTGTTGACTATCAAACTTGGATACAGCACTGTATAAACTGCCTGAACTAGAGAATAATAATGTTTTATTAACTCTATAGTCAGATAAATAAGGGAATCTCTCAGAAAGTTAGCAGATTCCCCAAATCTTCTGCAGAAACTAACATTAACCTTTATCTTTGTTCTACATTAGAAAACTCTGCAGTCAAATAACCATGCCTCAAATAACCAGTTTGTCAGTCTGACGTTTATTCTTTAACTACCATTACCAAGTACTGTTAAAGGCGCAATACCGTGGTATATCCAGATCTCATCTGATGTTACCAATGTTAAACAGGTAAAGAACAAACAAGTGAAAATATTTTTCATAATAAAATCAACAATACAAAACACAGCCAGACAGGGACAAGTTTCAATTCAAAAGTACATTAAAATTCTGCATAAATTAGAGGCCTAAAGAACAATATTCCAGAGAGGTAATATAAAACTGTACATGACAATACATTTGCAATACATTACAATATTTATTCAAATAAGGCAAAATAGCACCATGAAATAAAAAAATTCTCATTCAAAACCACAAACTACACAGCTGTAACAGGAAATACTGCATTTGTAATGTGAACAGTGAAAGCACAGGAAGCATGTACAGAGTTCTGTCTGTTGCCTGGGTTGATATTATATGGACGACAGCCTGGAGATGTACTGTTAAAGTAAAGGGTGTGTTGATCTCATGTGCCTTCATGTCATTACTTTCTTAACTGTGGTTATGCTTTGATCAAGGTAATTCAATTTGTTACAAAATTCAAGACACATTTTAAAAATTGTTAACTACTCTATGATTTATCATGGTGACATGATGCTTGTAATGGCCTACTTTGGTCTTTTTGTACTTTTTTGTCTACTCCTTTTTTCTTCTTTAATCTCTTTGACTTTCTACCAGGAACAGTCATTGCTGTTGATCAGCCACAGGATCCTAATTAGTCATTTTTGCATGGAGTCCCTCCCATACATCCCAGTTTCCAACCCTCCTCCCTCTGACCCTCATCTTTCTATTTACTGGCATGTCATTGTCATTCAACCTCCTTCCCCTGACATGTTGAGGTGTGGTGAGGAGGTGTACAGTTGTTCTGTCCTTAAATCTGAGTGTTCCTTAATTCACAGGAAGTTGTTGGAGATCTGACGTTGGTGGTCAAACAAGTCCTCCACCTCTGCGCTGTAAGCATCACCTGATGAAAATAGACAAAGGAGAGAGGTGGAATACATGGCAACAAAAAGGGGAAGTATTGAGATCAATGTATGTGCATTTGTGAAAGTTTTCAAACTGTACCTGCATGGCATCCAAACATGTAAACCCGTGCTCCATCATACTTGCATCGACAGCGCATCACATTGTTCTGGAAATCAGACTCAGCCATGTCTAAGGATGGGTTGACCTCCACCTATCAAAGAAAAAAGACTAGTTCTAGCAAAATTCAGTCAGTCATTCTCCTGACATTTGAAAACAGTCTGATCAGATGACTTAAAGGACGATTTTCAACAGACACTGTGTCAACACTACAAAATATAAAAAGTATGATGGAAATGTTTCCAGATTCTAGTGTTATTTTTTTGCTGGCGACTGAACCACTCGCATATGCAGTTGTAAAATCAATGTTTGTCTTTTCTGTTGTAATAGATGGGCACGTGTTGTATCTCCTTGTACGCAGACGATATATTGTTATATTTGTAGAAAGTATAAGTCTCCTGAAAGCATATACATAAACTTTTAAAGGATTTTAAAGACAAAGTCTAGATATGACATTTATTAGCTGAAATCCAAACTAAGGACCCTCAATACTGCAGCCAAAAGTATCCACCATCCAGCTGAACTGACCATCCATGATTCCTTTAC